TTGTTTATAATTCATTCGGTGTATTTTTAGTTGCAATCTCCACAAACATTCACACAACTTATCAAAGAGTTATCGAACACATTGCAACGGGTTAACACTGACTCGGATGCCTTTTCGACGATTATAACCGATTTCGAAGCGATCGATAGTTTCGATCTGGTCATTACAGGTATTCATCAATTTTTGACTCGAATTTCTCCGTTCGATTGCATTTCACTATTGATATTATCATTAGAACTGTAGATCACATTCCAGAATTACCCTCATGGTCACAAACTGTTTCAATATTTGAAGCGTTGGACCGCGTTCTACATGCATACGTTCGTTTCAATCGGAAAAGGTTGCTTTCTTTATTTTACTCTGTTTATTATGCGAACTTCAATAGATCTACTCTTGTAATCATCATATCTGTTATTTACGCCCAAAGTACACGTTGAATAGTTTTTACTAACTTTGTGCTTGTGAGGCATTCTTCGGTGGATGATTATTATCCAAAAGCGTGTCCTTTCATAATGCTGTCATTACTCATTACCACCCGTCATTGAATGTGGAACAATATTCGCTTTCAGAGCGGAACAACGTTCTCCGTCAACAGCGGTAACAAATTGTTTTGCTAATTTAAGACGGTTATCGAGTCTTGATTATGTTGTAAGCAGAGATGTTCGCAGTGATAATCGTTATAAGACACGACTTTGCAGGTGACGCTTGTATATATCCTGTACTAGTTATCTTTTGATTATTTGTTTGTGATTAAAATGCGTTCGTAATTAATCATTTGTTCATTGGAACGATTTTTGAAGATGTGAGATGAATTAATTTTATTGCAATTATCAGCAGTAAACTATCTCCTTTCCGAATTTAATGCATCAGTTGATCAGCTGATTCGGAGATACGATCCGAAATGATTGATATTTCAAACGTGAACATACGAACAGTTCTTGTTCAGGGACGTCGAAGCAGGACGGGCTTGTAGACGTGGATTACGCTGTACATATGCGCATTGTGACAATGAACTGAGAAGGACTCCAACGGCATTGAAGCCGTCATTGTCATTACCAATAAGGGGCGAGAATGGGAGTCTGCTGAAACGAATTAATGAATGTGATGGTTTTGTGAATGACAGTAACGATACTGCCACATTGCAACACAACATTGTGTCGTGTATGTCGAATGCACCACCCACCCTTCCACGGCTCAACTCGCCTCGAGCCCCTCCACCCCCTTGCAATGCACAACAAATTACGGCTCCCAATCCTAGAGTACCAATCATACCCATGCGAATGCCTCCTCAACCACCCAATCAGAACGCTGTTCTCTTCGATTCAGCGCAGCCAATACGTTAGCTTTTTCAGGAATTTCATTCTAATTTTGTGGTTATGATTATTAATATTACTGTATTACCATTGTTATTATATTTGATTGTTCTTGAATCGAATGTCCTGAGAAACAATGCGTAGATTGGAGGTAGCATTGGGTTAGATGTTCTCATTCATCACTGGAATGATAATAGGAAATTTGCTTGACAATTGCACGAAGCGGTTCTTTGACAAGTGAAAACTGTTCAATTGAGGACCGAATCAAAATTGGATTTCAAGAGCAGGTTTCAGGGGAATAGTTTGTAAGATTGATTTTAACGTTTCAACATAATGTATTCAATTGGATGAAAGTTAAAAGAAAGTAAAAGCATCAATATTTCAGAAGTGCCATTACCTGTTGTACCTGTCATTATACCACCAGCCAGATACATCGATTCAGCGAATTCTCCTAATGCTCCCATACAAATCGCTCCTCAGAATCAGGTAACATTTCATGGAATGCATCTGAATTTTATTCACTTCACTGCGCAGTGTTAGTGATAGTATTAGTGATATTTCTCATTGAGTTCCTAGATTAAATATCAGTTATAGTAGTTCTTAAAAACAGTGTATACACAAATCTGAATTGGTAAATTGTTCCTAATTAATATCACAATAAGAAAGAATTCATGATTATACATAAGGCTGCGACTATACTTCTGCAACTGATTATAGATGAGGCCGCCTGTAGTAAACCAGCAAATGATGATGAGTAGAGTATGGCCAAATGGGATGAATGGAACGCAGGGGTTGTCGAACGCAATGATAGCGCCAAATACGGTAATACAGTTTCCGATTCATGCACCTCCACCTCCTCATCAGCCTCAGTTCCTTCCCCCACCCAATCAACCTCAGCTTCATATCAATCATAATCAGAATGCTCTTCAATGGACTCAGAATTGGTTGGTTATTCGTTGATTCGACTTTCTTTGCATTACAACTGTTATGATCGATGTCATTTGATCTCATCTTGATATCACTTGATCAGTAGTGTACGCATGCGGGGAGGCCGATGGGGTTTTCATGGAACACGTGTGAATGACTGTTTTCCACTCATTCGATGAGTGCCTGGAATAGAGATGTAATTGTTTGAATTTCCTTGATTTATGTACCATTAAAACTAGCAGTACCATTAATATGTAATCATACGTTTATAGTATAGTATGTTTTCTGTTCTATAAATGATATAAGATAATTGNTTATTATTATTATTATGTGGACATTGATACGAGTAAAGAATGAATAATTGGATGCCACTAATGAATTTGCAAAATTGAAGTGTGAATGGGTCGGCACTGAATGAACAGCCACCACCAGCAGCTATGATTCCACCCTCAGCTGGAGGTGGAGCACTTCAAATGAATTTACCGTTGGAATGTGTAGAAACACAGTGGAACGTCGTCGATAGAACGACATGCCGCAGTGCTCCTGTTCAACCAGTCGCCGCATTTGAGGAGGTAATTCTTTTCGTATTACCAGTCAGCTCAAGTTTTGTTTTTATGATAAGATATCATTTGTATGCTCATAAGATATTATTGTTTGATTACAGTTGATGATTGTGATGGTATCTGTTCATTATGAATCATTCTGATTTTAGATCGTACATCACGGTGAAATGAATAACTATCGAATAATGAAACGTTCCGAGCAAGAAGATGAAGAGCAGTTGATGATGCGCAGAAAAGAAATCATTTCGTATGTTTTGTTAGAATCCTTCTGCTGTTTCAGTCAGATTTTTTGAGTTCTCGTCATCTTTTAAATCGTATTTTGTTCGCAAAAATATCTGAACCACGAGAATTTGTTGATCTTGTTGACCTTTCCAGAAGGTTGGTTGATATAAATCAGAAGCCGAACGGTATATCTGTATGTGAAGAGTCATTTGACGAAGATGATCTGCAGAGGTTTTCTTTCAGTTATATCTTTTCACTTTTCGAATTTCATCTTTCCATGATTCTGTTTCAAGTGAAATATCCCATCGATCTCCACAAAATTGGACAATAAAGACACAAAGTAGTAAAACATTGGATGAAATGTTTTGAACTGTTCAAAGTATGATATTCCACATTGTACTATAAACTTAAATCAGATGCTTAAAAGTTGCAGTCATGTTTCTTATACGGTCGCTAGTTCGGTTTTGTACGACGATAAGGATACGTTCACTTCAACTACTCTCCACTTACCGCCATTACCGCTTCGTTTCACCTCAGCTTCTAATGTTGATGATGCCGTGTCCGTAACGTATTCATTTCTTGTTATTGATTTCTATGCAGTTCGATAGCAGTGCTTGTTATCATTAGGATTGTTGTGTTGATATGACGAAGAAAACTGACATGATTATTTTGATATCAACACGGATATTGAAATGTGCTGCTCAGAGTGGCAAAGTAATTGCAGTTTTGATTTTCACTAGAACTTTAACGTGGTGATTGAAAACTTTCACTTTTCACAAACGGATTTTTAAATCAGCTGGTGAATGTCAAACTCTTAAGGAATTGCTTGAGCGATTTGAACAAAACAACAACTGTATTAACGGTATGTCCACCACCATGTGTATGGACAAACATTGCAAAACCAGCAACCGTACAATCACCGTGTAGTGTTATGACGATTAAAGATATGATCAATTTGCCTTTAGCCACACCGGCGATACAACGTTCTCATGGTGTTTATTTATCTCCTGTTCATTTCTTCATTATTGATTTACTTTTTGATTCGTTCACATAATTTGTTATTTATCATGCGGTACTAATTTACTATTTCATTGATGTATTAATATAGTAACAGATATGTACATTTCAGTGCCACATTTGGCCGTCTGTCAAATGAAAGACTCAAATTGCATACCTAATTCATGTATACCACCCGTCATTCGACCGCTCCCATCAACGTCTCAAGACCCACAAAATGTAGTCAGTGAAACGCTGGATCGTATCGTAGACGTTCGTGAACGGTTGAATGACGTCGAAAAGAACAGTGGCTTGGGATGTTCTGTTGAGAAACAGCAGTTGAAAGAGGAACTGAATATCATCAATCGCCAGATACAAGTTAGCATCATGCTTATGCTCATTGTTATTTTTGTTAATATTGTTGTAGAACTTGTTCCTTTCATAATTGATTTCATTCGTTAGAAATTATGATTGGGATAATTTCGTTTCAGCTGAACACAAGAATGTGTTGATATTTTGATTTTATAATAGAGATTTTTATCGCTTTTTTGAGGTGATCTCTAATGAAATCAACAGCGGTTGTTCCACGAAGCATATGATTAAATAAGATGGATTACGCACAAATTTCGGAACTATTTTCGATTGGTTTTGTTGAAATGATAATCAGGCTTCGTGTTATTTCACTCTTGAATTGATGTATTAATCAGTATTTAATGATGGTAATAAGTGTGAATTACCAATTTATGATATATTTTGTTAATGATTATAAAGGTGTTTTGCTGCGATTGAATAAATTTCCAGACCCTCGATCAGCAGACGAAACAGTCGTGTCTCTTAAAGGAATTAGAAGTGGTCGATAAGAAAATTGAACATCTTAATGTGCATTGTTGATTGTCGATCATCTTTCCAACGAAAGTATGCGAATATGGGTTAATTATTATTGTGATCGTATTCAATTTGAAATACTCGCCGTTTCTTCAATTGTTCGGATAAATCGTTTATAGCAAAATAATGCAAGCGATCGACTCATGGCGAGACCAGAGATATTTTCAACGGCAAATTTATTGGCATAATGTCATATTGCGTGTTAGACAATAATTGCCTTAAGCATAACATTGCGGTTAGTTATGGTCATTATGAGAAATTTGTGCACAATGGTTGAATTCGTGTTCAGAGTCGATGACCTGCATCGGTTTCGTGACGTTATTCATTATTCGCACAAAGAGTTTCTTCTTATAATGTTAGAATTTAATTGTCAAAGTGAAAGTTTTGAATTTATGAAGTTTAGTTGGTGTAAGATAAATCCATAGTGTTTTTATTGTTATTCGTTTAGTAAGTCGATCACTTGAATATGCAATTTTTTGTCATTATCTGTTATTAATACTAACTAATATTTCGAATGCCCTCCCTCTCATCATTTCTTTTTATTTCCGTCTATTTTTGCTGTCGCTTTTATCGTCGTTTGGAAGTCTCCACTTCATTTGTTTGCATATAAATGAATGCATACATATGGTATTTGTATAAATATATAAATAAGTATATATAACGTAATTCTGGTTGAGAATCACATATCCCAACCGATTGGCGTATTACTTTTATTATGTTGTTCTCTTTTAAAATTTATTTTTGTGATCGTAGAGTACTGGAGATCACATTTATATTTTTCAGATTACTTCAGCGCCTCAAACGAATATCTCAAAGTGAAAGAAACCACAGAATGCTGATACGGACAAAATTAACGACTTCCTGATTTGTTTTAGCTTTAGGATAGCGACAGTATCTGAAAAACTACGTCAAGAGGAAGAACCAAAACCAACATATCCGATAGACGAGATTGCAGTATTGATACCTGGGGAATTGGTTCAATTATGTATACCAACCGACCCATTTAGTACACATGAGAGCGCCATACATACGGTGGCATTACTATCATGACAATGAGCTAAATCAGTCGGTAAACCAGTCAGAAAAACTAGTTTATTTAGCATAAGCATTCAGAAATACTACAGATATCAACCGAAGATAGGTCCCCATCATTGATTTCGAGATCAGGTGTATTGATGCTTACTACAGTTGACTGTGGACCTCCAGCTCTCCTTGAACACCACCACCACCAGCATTCAGAACGTGGTGGCATTATCGGTTCGCGATTTTCTATCTTTCCTGCTTCCTTCACTTCTAAGCATTATAATTAGTTAATTATACCCTTGGATTAATTACTCAACTTTAGTTGATCAATTATAAAGGTTGAGAGGTGATCAGGAGGAGCGGGAGGAACCGCAGTCAACTGTAGTAAGCATTAATGCAGTTGATCTCGAAAGCATTGATTAGGCCTCTCTTCGGTTAATATCAATAATATTTCTGAATGGTTTGTGTTGAATAAACCAGGCTTTTCCTACTGTTTTACCAATTGATTCAACCCGATGTCATCCTAATAGTGCCGTTGTATTTATGGTGTTGTCATGTTTGCTAAATGGATCTGTTGGTATACGCAATCGAACCAGTTTCCCAGGTATCAATGCTCCAATCTCGATTACTGAAGTTAACGGGTATGTTGGTTTCGACTGTTCTTCGTGACTTAAGTTTCAATAAATCAGGAAGTCGTTAATTTTATCTGTACCAGCAATCAATGGTCTCTTCACAATGACCTGTGGCCACTTTGGAACGCGCGTTCAAGGCGTTGAGGTGTTCTAAAAACAATAAGATTAAGTAGAAATGCGTGCAAGTTTCCGACTTTTAGGTATTTTGAGTCCTAAACAATGTCCTGTTGTTGACCAAAGAGAATGCGTAGCTTGTTTCAGTTTTCTCCTTCAATTTGATACTTTACGTAGCCGATTTTGTTTAAAGTTACTCTCTGATCTTACCACTAAATTCAGCTTCATCTTACTCTTTTTGTTCCTTCATCGAGCTATCATAATTTTGTTTTCGTGATATTCTTTTGATGGATGGATTGTTTCTGAATTTGATAAGTTGAACATGAAAGTGACTTGCTGAATCGATGTTCAAAACGCTTCTTTAATTCATAAATTGTGGTTTCTTTTTCAATTCATTGGAATGTGTTCGTCCATTTTGCGGTGATCTTTCGTACTTGGAAAATTTATATTTAATACAATATAATACGGCCGTAGTTTACAAAGATTTCGAAGGTTGGATATACTTGGAACGAACCGCAAAAAAACTATTTATTGTAACATGTAAATTGTAATATTCATTCAGATTATCCGACTTTTTGTTGAGTTCGTTGTTAAAAATCTAATAAACCTATGATGTATTGAACTTCTTCATTCTTTTTCGATAATAAACAGTTTGAAACGTTGGTTAGAGCCTCTCGAAACAGTGTTGCTCGTATGCAAGAAGGAAGAGATGTGAGAAGGAGATGAACACTTTGTGATTGCGTTGTATAAATAATGGAAACTGTTGGAAACATGAGTAAAATGAATCTCGATCATTCAGCAGTTATCCGAATGATCATGATAATGTTTGATTTTCTTCGAAGCTACAGTTCAATACAGTTATGAGATACAATTCATTTCAATATCATTCAGTTCAATGAAATGCAATTAAATACCAAAGAGAGTACAATTATGAAAGTTATTCGTTCCAGGTTTGGTTCTTCGTAATGAGATGAACTCGACCAATAGTACTGCTCTAACAGCGTTGATTCAATGTTGTCTGTGATAGATTGAGTCTTTATATCAATATACGATGAGAAGGTGGTGATATGAGAGGAGGGAGGGGATGGAGGGAAGATAAAGCATTACGCATCAGTTTCGATAGATACGAATGGAACTTGCTATAAATTAGCTCTCATATAGGATGTTCCCAATGCTGAAACACAGTGAGGGAACCAACAAATGTCCTTTCTATCATAACTACATAGATCCTAGGAAGTCCTTCGGTTAACCTTTCAAACTGTTGCATTAACTGATCGTCAAAGTATAGATTCGCAAGAGAACTGATTGACTATGTTTTCCTTCGAATCCGCAAGTACCTGCAACCCACAATCAAATTTGACTACGTTTTAAAAGGCCCAGTTCAATTGGCTATCACAACTAGTCTACCTTTTACAAAAATCGGAATCCGGATAACTTTCCATTCCGCTCACTTGTATGCATCCCTCAAGAACGAGATTTCTTTCATCCAAACCCTAAAGTTATGAATTTATTTTATTTATTTATTTATTTAATCAGCAAATCAAACTCATTACTAGTTTATGCCTCTCTGTTATTACCAGTATCACTAATATCACATTCTTCCTTCCTTTGCATTCTTCTTTCCGCGCAGCTAACGATAATAGCGTTTGGAATCATCTGTCTTCATGAAACCTATGTTTTTCGACCAAAATTATGATGAATAGTTCTCTGACGATCGGAGCAATCAGTAGCCGCATTCACCAGACTTTTCGTCTGCTCAGCGGCCTTTTTTCTGCTATCAAAATTTTCTGAAGTGTCTAGCCTACTCTGAAGCAATTTTCCTCATAGGAGAAAGTTCTCGCTGAGAAATTTGAGAGGGACAGGTGGAACTGGGGAGGACGACAAATCATTATTATTGAAGTTTTTTTAAATTCATATTATAATTCTTCCATTGTTGTTCAATAATGTTTTCGAAGTAGTGATGATATCCAAACTAAATTTTGGTAGGGTCGAAATTCGACCTTTTCAATATTCGTAAATTCGAAATTCTGACTGAATTTCGGTCGGAAGCCAACCGAATTCACATTTCGAGATTCCAAAATAATGACGGCATCCCACCAAACGTAGACCGGATGCCGTCACTACTTTGAAGTATTATTTTGGTCTGTTGGTTATTAAGAATGTAATCCTGAGATCGCGTGAATGCGAGCAATCGCGGTTTTTTGTGCTGCGTTCAAAGTGCAGCACGGAACGCGAGTGCATGAGAACCGTGGAAACCAGGGGTCCTTGACTGTACCCCTTTCTTCGGAGACTCTTACTTCGGGGGCTGCGAGTTTGATTCCGACTGTAAAGTTGGGTCAGGGACTCTCGACTCTATCTCTTCAGAGGTCATGAGGGCCTCCGGCCATACTTCCCACCGTCGGGCACTCCCGAGTTCAATTCCACCTCAAGCACAAGTCCTCCTCCAACCAAATTCTAAGAGCCATCGCTCTAAACAGATCCGCCTCTTTCGGTGGATCTTTCATTATCAAAAAATCAGTTCCTTCTGGGTCTTTACTCAAGGAAATAAGATGGCTACATTGGTGATATATTTTCAGAATATCAAATTTGATCGGCAACCTTTAAACGTCTAATGAATCACGCCCTATATAATCTATTAGAAGAGCATACTTAGCACACCATTAGTTCCTCTACAGGAGTAGAGGACGCTTTCCAGCTGTGGAGGAATTTAGTGATACCAAAGGGGAGGGTCATTAAGCATTGGTGTCGATCAATTTTTCTTCCAAATTCCTTCCATGATTGTCCTATAATGCCGTCAAAATATTTCTGTGATCGTAACTAAATGATTTCTTCCATATTACCGATAAAGTTTTCAAAGGGAACTTCTCAGTCGTTGAATTAATTGGCGATCTCCTTCTGCCCTATCTTCCGCAATCAGTGATGGGAAACGGTAATCATGAACGACAATTTTTCGAGATATCTTCCAAAATTGTCGACGATACCAAGTATCTTAAACCGTTCACTTTTTAAGAGATGAAAATAACAAACGTTTAGATCGTTTTTCACCTTTTTTGAATCGTTTACCTTTTTTTTTTTCAAAATGCAACGCTGATCGTTTCTGATGAAAATCTCGAACTGTCGGCAAATTTCATAAATTTTTGCATTGAATTTGGCGTTTTCAATACTACATTTCGAATCGCCTGTGAATTTTGACGTTCTTTTATGTTTCATTTCAAACTTTTCGGCAACTCTCGAGTT